TCCTCAAAGTCAAATGAAGCCATATCATATCCTTCAGTTTTGATCAACATCACTTTTTTTCTGTTTCTGTTTTTTTTACAAGGTTTAGGTACTGCAACAAAAAAATAGAGCAAAATTATTAAAATAAAATATTTCTAATTTTTGGTAGTGATATTTTGATACTTTTATAAAATTATAAGCATACACTTAGACTCCTTAAATTTTTCCAGGTGACATCACATTTGCAATAATGTAAAGTATATCTTTTTTGGATATTTGAAATAAAAACAAAGCAAATCATGGTTATAAAGTATGTACATACAATAGATTAAAAGAGGTCTTTCAAAAATTCCAAAATTCCAGATTAGCTATTTTTGATAACTGACCTTGACCTTATATTTTTTTAATTCCCTATTGCACATCTATATTTCAGTGCATCACCATGTCAAATTTCAGAAAATCATTCTTTTGAATTCTGATATAATGTCCAGAAATGAAAGTGTAGGCGGACAGATGATTACTATAGGGCACCTGCATCTCCTATTGGGGCCCTAATTATGCGTGGATTTTACTCAAATTAAAATTTAGCCCTTGTCTTTCTATAATTTACAACAATACTAATTTTCAACAAAATACAACAATATTTAAGCAACTTATCGTGCGAAAACTTCTATTTGGAAATTTACCAATCAGAGCACAGTATGCTAATTAATTGATTAATTATTATAGGTAATGCATACCAAACTTCATCACAACTAAACGATATTAAACAAGACTCCTATTGGGCCATGGAAACTCTTTTATTAAATTTTGTTCTGATAACTGAAAATGTAATAATTAAGATTTAAATATATTATCCTTTAATGGGTTAAAATCCCTCCAAAGTACAGAAACAGAAGGATTTTTTGAAGATTAATCTCAATACCCCCTCTTGGGCCTTTGCCCAAGAAATGTTTTGTTCTACACAAAATTCCTCCAATTTAAGCTAATTTAATTAACATTTAATTAATTTCCTCTCAGTGTAAGATAAGTATAAAGTATCATTTAAATCTGTTCAGTACTTTGGGAAAGTGCTAACAATGTAAAACATTAAAAGGGCATAACTCCATAAACAAGGGAAGTAACTCTATTCTTTATGGTTTACTCGGGTCCCTTAGTTTTTGTACTAAGTGTCCTAAGTATCATTCGAAATGATGCAGTGCTTTGGGAAGTGTAGCTTTTTTCTTGAAACAGATTGACAGACAGCCTGATTCCAGTATAACTTTGTTAAACTTCCTTTCATTGCAAAGGAAAGTAAATCAAACTGTTTTATTTTAGTGTCAAGCTACGTACACTTACCTTGTTTTTTTATGGGGCAATCTTTCCGTCCTGAGGTCAGGATTTTTCAAACTTGTGTCATCTTGACAATAGACAGACTTCCCAGCAAAGAAGATAGATGAAGCCTCAAGAGGATTTAGTCACGTCCCAACTAGTTTTGTCAATTCTTTCACAATGTATGGAAGTCCAGACACAAACAATCCTCCAGCACAAGATTTACAGAGCAGAACAGCACACATGGCGGTCCATTGGTCCATCAAGCCCGACCGCACAGGCCTGACGTCCCAATCATGATGCTGTAAAGCCAAACTCGTGTCAGATTCATGTCTGTATTTGGAATTAAATGCATTGTCAAAGAAGTGACAGTTCGAAGTCGAGAAATGACTAAACCAACTGAGTTCCAAATATTTCCATTGCTAAGTCATCCATCTAGAGTTAGACTCCACGCATTCGAAAACCCTGACCAGGTGACTGTCCGAGACGTTAGACAATCTCCTACAAAAAAAAAAATCTTTTTTAGCATTGCTATTGCTTATGCAGTCAAAAATACATATTATGATGTATATAACAGCACTTTGGTTAATTGGTTTTTTTAAGTTGAATGACCTTCAGTCTCATCTGATGTACTGCTATGTAATAGGTGGCAAAAAAAATCATACTGTTCCCTTTCAACAATGGGAAATTGATATAAAAGAAATACATACGTGACCTTGACATTTGACACATAACAAACTTAGCACCGTTACCTGGAAACATTAACCTTTTAGTAATTTGCAGTCTTCATAACTCAAAACTTTTGTAAATTTACTGATTAACAAATGTTTCAACTCTGCATCAAGTGACCTAGACTTTCCGAATTCTCTCTGATGTCTTAAAGCTGGTCATTTTGTGACCGCTCTTATCGCGATTGAAATTTACGTTCAAGTTCAGAGGAGTGATTTATTAGATTATTAGCAAGGTCAAAGCATTTTGTTGTTGGTAATTCACCCATTACTATTTACAGTATGTAGTAATAACACTTTTCAGGAAAAACCATGAGAAAAAAAATCAGCATTAATTTCTTTTGGTATGATTTCCTCTGAAGAATGTTTGTTCCCCGTCATAATTCCAAAATGTTGACCAATCATACTCCAATTTTGAATCTACTACTTTGATGCTTTGCAGATTTATATTTTACATGTATATGGAAATACAGAACATGGACAAAAAAGAAATTATTGAAAGAGGGAGAAAATAAAAAAAAAAAGTGAAAAGTGTCCAGCTGTTTTCTAAACAAAATTTGTATATATTTCAGGTAACATGACTGAATATATAGGGTAGGTCTGGTTTTCTTTTCTTTTTCTTTTTGAGGGGGGCCAATTAAAGAAATAACAAAAATCACCAAACATATTTTTAGGTCTGTTAAACAATTATATGGGGTTTAAATTTGGTTTAGATACGAGCCTATGAAGAAGTAGGGTTAATATACGATTCCTTTGTTTATTCATCCATCAATTTGTTTGCATCCGATGAACAAGTTATCCAAAATAGGTCTGGATTGAGTACATTTATGCAAGATGAAATTGTCAAAGGTAGGTAGGGGTACTTGAAACATACATGTTTTGTTTTGTCCTTATATATTTTCCAGTTTACCAATAAAGATGGGTTCTCGCTGCTAAATAATAACAAGAGGCCCATAGGGCCTGTATCACTCACCTGGATATCTTAGCAATCATGGCAAAATATTCTCCAAATGAGATTCAAGGGAATATGCCAGACCTCAGGGCCAATCCTTGTAGCATATCTGTATTTGATTTTTTATGCCCAGCAATTTTATGTATGGTTATGGGGTGGGGATCTCAACAGTTTCCAAGCTGTGACTCAGAAACTAGGTCCCTAGGGTTGTGGCCAGACCCCAGGATCGATTCTAATATCATGACTGCATTTGTCTCTTTTTGCTCAGCATTTGTATATATAGTTTTGGGGTGGGGATCTCAACCGTTTCAAAGTTATGACCCAGGGGTTATGTCTGCAAGGGTGGGGCAGACCCTTGGGTCAATTCTAATATCATGACTGCATTCGTCTCTTTATGCCCAACAATTGTATATATAGTTTTGGGGTGGGGATCTTAACCGTTTCAAAGTTATGACCCAGGGGTTAAGTCTCCAAGGGTGGGGCC